TGACATTATTAAGTCAACATGTCATTCCAAACCTGTACACACACACACACGTATATATATATATATATATATATATATATATATATATATACATACATACATTTTTTTATACAATATTTTTGTGTGTGTGAACTATTCCTTTAATAAGATTGGATTTAAGATTTAAAGTCTCTCAATCCAACGTACGCACACATAGAGTTGCTGTAAAGCGTTGAGAGGAGACATTCTGTACAGATTGCGTGATTCAGAGCTGATTTTCTGAGGTGAGGCTGAGTCAATTATAACTCCGCTGAATTATTAAATCTCTCTTTCTCCAGCATACATACACATCTCTTTCTCTTACATAAAAGTACATAATGTTCCAAGGTAACAAAATTGTCCAAATACTTGTAGAGTGAACACACACATACACACACACACCCTCTCAACAGTCACAATTATGCATAATTCAGTCTGTCAGATACCTCAGCAGATGTCATGCCAAGCTCAGGCAGTGAGCCTCCCGCAGGGGTTTAAGAAGCTGCCACATCCATTTGGTGCTGGATTGCCGTTTCTTCGAATGAACATCCATACCTTCATCCAAAGACTTCAGCCTAAACATAGACAACAAATACCTATTGTACAAAAACATTTAGATTATAATACAGAGTAATATAATATATACACACCTTGGTGAACATAAGAGACTTCTTTCAAAAACATTGACCAGTGATATATATATACATATACAGTTACAAATCATGCTGTTGTACTGAATGTTTGAATATGATATAGTCACCTTCATGTGGTATTACTTAATTGTAATAAGATGTTTGTCTTTATACACTTTATAGATGATTTCCTACACATGGACTGACAGATGGATGGATGGACTGATGGTTGGAGCAAACAGACAGTTTGATACATGAATCAAAGGACCTGAAAATTTAATATCAGTCCCCTCTTCTTCCAGATGTATGTTTCTCAGCTCATGTGTTTACACTACTGAAGGAATGTGTATGAATCTCGCACATTATTTAGCTCTTGAAATAGCCAGTGAGTGTTAATCCCTTCTGCAGGGAGGATGTGTTGGTTTGTCCTCTGGCTGGTACAGCAGGAGAAGGAGTGAAGCTCCAGGACGGAGAGGGATTAGGCTATTTTCGGCTCTTATCAACATACTTTAAATCTTTCTGCTCTGATCAGGCCGGAGAAAAACCTGAATTAGTGGTTTTATATAGAAACTGCACGCTAGCCTTTACAAGGTCATTTCTGTGCATGCAACACAAACAAGAAGCTCATTGCATTTGCTGCACATGTAGCCTAATATTGTGTCACATTGGAAAGCTTCATACGGTCACAGTCTGATTATAGATGGTTCATTTTGAAGTGTATTACACAAAGACTCACATAGATGAAACATACACATATGGGTCTGTTGCGCATAGATGATCTCATCCTTTGTCATCCATCATTCGTCTTGTTCACATTTGAACTGTGTCTTGGTCTGGGCAGATATCTGTTCCTGCAGCCGTCCTGCCCTCGTAATTAATTGTTTATGGTCAGTGCACTCTCACTGCTGCAGCATGGATCATCCTAACACACACGCACTCTCTCTCTCGTGTGCTAAAGAGAAAAGAGAGAAAGAGAGAGAGAATTCCCCCATTGATTTAGCTCTCCTCTTTCTGGACAACACCTCAAACTGATTCAGTACAGTAATGGCATTACACAGCTCACATAGCAAGATGATAAAATCATAGGCTGGTGACCTTAACTCACCCATTGCACTGTGGGATATAAACTGTGATAGGATTGTGCATTGATCATTTTGATCAATGCTACCTTCCTCCTAAGACACCAGAGACATCCTCTCTTCTTTCTTTCTGTTCTTATTTTAACCGTTTAACCTTAAAAGTATAGAACTAAATTGAACATTCCCTGTATTCAGTATGTGCCTTTGTGTACAATCTTATCAAGTGGCATATTTAAATAGAATCCTTGCTTGTTTTTTAAATCTTAGGCAGTGTTTAGAGCTTCCGTTTTCTTAAAGGAATAGTTCAACCATTTTATTCAGTTCTCGCTCTATAAAAAAGAAACCAATCAAAGCTCATTCTCGTATAAATCTTTAAAATGAAATACAAAATTAAAAAAATTAAAAATTAAAAAAATATTTAAAATAAAATAAAAAAATTATAAAATGTATACATTTATGTTTATTGCAATTGTTAATACTAATAAAATTAGGTACTTACTAAAAATGTGTACCTTATGCTGCTGTTTTGGTTTTATTACCCAAAATATGGGTAATAAATATGGTTTTATTATTTTTGGTTAAAACCAAAAATATATAATAAATCTATGTTATTTTTAGCATTATGTACATACAATTATAATATTTATTAATGTTTTGAATTGGCTTTAATTTAAATATTTTTCATTATGTATTTTATTATGTGCTTTTTCATTTTTATTAGTATTTCTGTTTAGCTTAATTTTTATTTCCGTTTTAGTAGTTTTAGTAGGCCTACTTCAAACTACTACTTGAACTTATTTCAGTTAGTTGTGAAGGCAACATTTCTAATTTACATAAAAGTATTATAAGTGTAAGTAAATATATTTTATTTTATTTTATTTCAGTTAACGAAAAGAACATTTAATAGTTATAGTTTTAGTTAACCATACCAGCACTGTTAAGGGTTATGCATAGTGTGAAAAGCCTACAACTGTCACAGTTTAAAGGCTTAATTTTTCTTTGTGGCGTATATTTTTAGCTTTGTGATAACCGAATCCAGAACTTTAGCTGAACTTCATTTCGACTGCAAACCACTGGAGGGAACACTTTGATAATTCATTAGTGTGAAAATTGTTCTCTGATACCGCTCACACTGCTGTTAAATCTCTGAAGATAATAGCCGCTCGGGAATATTAGAAAACGTAGGAATATTGCACCGGCTAAATCAAAGAGACACTGAGAAGAGCAGCTGTGGACTTGAGAAGGCTGAAGAGAAGTTTCTTGAAAAATTAATCATGTGTGCATCAGCTTTCTATTAGTGGAATATGCATCTACCATCCCAAAGGGTATTCTCAACCGCTTTTTAATGGACAGTCTTAATTTAAAGAGGGAGAGAGAGACAGAAAGAAATTACTCTAATCCATTCAAACACTTCACTTGCTCACAGTTGACCTTTTAGCCTTTTAGTATCTCCAACCGACCCCTATCATCCTATAATCTTTGTTCAGACAGTCCGTCAAAGGGTCGGTCATCCTCTTGAGTAACAGAATCTATTCTTTTAAGGAGAAGAAATATGTTTTGCATAATTGTCTATGTGGGTAATGAGATAAGACTAAAGACCAGGAAGTAATCAGTTTACAGACTAACGATTGGAGTGTAAGTGGATCTCGTGAGGGAACTGCATCAGGCTTAGTGTCTCCTAGTCCGATTCTGTTTGCACAATACTGGTGTCTTCACTCTGACAGATGCATTGTCCATTTGTTTAACATGGCCTGGGGCTCCGATTTTATGAATCAAACCACAAGAGATGCCTGAGCAAAATGGCTCATTATAATGTTGCCTAATTGCTGCCACCAGCATTAGGAGATGTTTTGCTTATGCTATATCTTCTTTAAACACACACACACACACACACACACACACACACACACTTTGCTGGATGTAATGGACATGATTTGAAAGCCTCTATTTATCTATACAAACAACATATTATACTATGTTTGCACTGTACATGCTCTTATCATATCAGTATGTAAGAGTAGACCATAGAGCATTTCTCCAGGGAATTAATGGCACAGAATTGGCCTTGGTTATATGTACTGACACAGAGGTCATGAATCACCCTTGACCTCCATATGCCTCTCCTGTCAAAGCCAACCCTTTATTCGCCCATCCCCCTGTTAGCTTATATATTCCCACTTTATTGTGGGAATTATATTTTCTCATTATGCAAATGCTGGGGGAAATTGGGCCCTATGCATTACTTTAGCATAATATGCATGGAAAATCTTTTAAACCAATAAAGCTTGCCACCCAAATAATTAATGTATGTAGCGTGCGACTCTAACATTTTACTGAATTTTGACTAGTATCTTAAAGGGAAACATTATAAATCAAAAGAGAAACGTTCAGTAGTTTAATTGACAAAAAATGATCATAGCTCTGGCATGGTAACCTTATTTTAATAGTAGTATTTGAACTAAGAACATAATAAATGGCCCATCATTTGCACGTTGTGGTCAATGTTAATATTAATTGTATAAAACAAACTATGGTAGGCCAATTTATTATGAATTAGGTTATTGTCCCCTGAACACATTTTAAAACTATAAATTAGATGTGGTTAATAAAAATTAGGTTCTGTAGATTTCCTCACTTTCCTTATTTCATATAAACGTAGCCTACATGTTCAAATAGGCTACGACAGCTACTAACGTTACAGTTGTATGCTACTATAGTAAAATCATGGTAAATTAGAGCAAGCGTTGAGAGCAGCTTTTTGTGGCTCAGAAGGGAACCGCTATGACGTTAATGCCACTCCGTTATGATGCTGTTATGAGAGGATGCGGTTTCCGTTGTCACGGATTAACTACAAATCCGCGAGCAAACCGCCAGCTTCTGTGAAGGAAAACCTGCGCGCGGACGCGTTTTGCTAGCTGATTCCAGCTGTGGTTGCCATGGAAACGGAACTTCTCCCAATCCTCAATTCTTACCTTGTCCATCAGTGGAAAGGGTAGGGAATGACACTTGAATGTTGGAAAAAGAGAGGTGAATGGAGCCAACAAATCAGTCATGACGTTGTAGTGTTAGTCAGTGAGAAAGAAAATGACTTTATAATATTGTTTTCGAAGAGATGAATGGAATTTGTCAGATCAAATTCGTGAACGATTTTTTTTTTATTTTTTTTTTTTTAAGTCGACTCTTTTGAATGAATCTGTTTGCGGTTCACAAAATCAGTCGGAACTTCACTCGTTCATTTTTCCTAATTCACTGAGCCGAACTATTCGAAAGAACCGATTCGTCAGTAGGACTTTTCGAATAATACGCATGCGCAATGACTAGGTCATGTCCTGGGTTAGCGAGATTTTCATAGACGGAAACTTGTTTGAATTGTATCCATTTTCACTGAGGTAATGTATCGTTCATACTAATACACGGTTCTAAAAAGTAAGTTTGAATGAAATGTTATAGTTTAACGGGAGTTTAAGTTTATGTCGACGATGTTGCAACCTTTGACGTAACCTGAGGTGAGGCGATGGGTTGGCTAACTGTTTTATTAGATTCTGTTTTAGTTTGTTGTTTTGGCTGTAGTCATTGTATGTGCTTTGAAATAACTGATGTTTCAAGGTGTATTCATTTTTATTTTAACAGATGGTTTATACAGCAGAGCTCATGACCCAATATTACCACCTACAGGTCAGTGCCATTAGATCATATTTTGCTAATCATGCATAACGGAACTGTGTAGTTTATGCAGAAGATAAGGATGTACAAGTTTTTTTCCACATGGTGAGTTATCTTTAGGCCCAAGACTATCACCAAAGCTGAATAAATGCTGCGTGTTTTGTGAAGTTTTGTCGCCATCCAGTGACCAAAGCCAGTAACTGCAACTAGAGGTTTTAAAATTGAAAATTCAAATAGTTTGAAGCAGCTTATGCTTGTTAAATGGGCCTACATTTCTTCCCTAATTGAAATTTCACCCTTGACATCAACCAAAATAGTTTGTCACCACGTTGATTAGTTGTACACTCATTTTCATTTCTAGTCTGCGCTGTAGATATGAGAAATGTTTTGTTGTGTGAAGTTTTAAATTCTGCTGTAAGAGTGATTTGATATGAAACAAAAATAATTGTACTAGGCGAACGTGATAACCACTACACTACGGGAACTGAGCTGCGTGATGGCAGTAATTGTGATATAATTTGAGTTTGTTGGCACTGCGGTTCTACGCTCTTTTACGTTCGCTTACCACATGACGGCATATGTGGCAGACTCGTAAATTGTGAATGAAAGATTGTGTTTGACATGTCCTTGCAGAAACCACTATGTTTATGTTATTATTATGCAATACGTGTGACGTGTGGTCTAATGGTAGGCCTAAGTTATATAGTTTTTTTAAGCAAATCAAAAGTGAAAATTTAAAGCTGTTTAGATGTCATTGTGTTTTGCAAGCTATCTGAGCATGACTGGAATGCTAGTGTGCTATTTCACACATTTCTGAGTGATCTGAAAAAGCCTTTACCACATCTGTGTACACACGACAAGCAACCACCATTATTTGAGTATGTGGCAATACCCCAACTGTGTAATATGTCAAGATTCTGTATAGTTTTGTTATTGAAAATGGAAATGTCATTCTAGAAAACAGGAAAATAACTGAAAGTCAGGGTCTGGTTGCATAAACTGTTTTTTTCTTCAGTACTGGTCATAACTTTTTTAATTCACATAACTTTAACTGTTAATGTAAACATACAGTACAGTTTCAAAAAGAAAGATTGGTCTAATCTGAATCCTAAAAAATTGGCTAGTTGGTGAAACTGGTTTTTAAGACAGTCTACATAGTTGCTATGTTTTTGCAACTGGCCCCAGGACTTTATTGCAGTTCAGTATGATTCACTAAAGACATTAAAGTAGAACACAGTAAATAATAGGACGACCAAGTACAGAAAAACATGAAGTACAATGTCAGATGTGTAACAACTGCAGAAAATGAACATGTGAAGTGCATTTGGGCATGTTCATTATTCATAATGTATGTTGTCAGTAGTATTCTTGATTTTGATGCTTGAAAATTTGAAGTACAGTTGTGTGTCCCTTAGGATTGTAATATCAATTGATCTGAATGATTTCATCCAAAATATTTTTAGATGTAAAACAGATTGTAAAACAGACATTCTCAAAAGTTCTCAGGCTAACATTCTGGTAAGGTTCTCTCAAAGATATGAGCAAATGTTCTTCCAGTAACGTTAATAAAATGAAAAACATAAGCACAAAAACATTATACATTAATACATTTTTCCTGTAATGTTTTATTTGGAAGTTCATCTAACATTTAAACAATGTTAAAAGAACATTTAAAACGTATGTTTCGATAATGCTTGCAGAATAAAATGGACCATTAACATTAACTTTCACATTTGTATAACCAAGAAAAACTTTTTTATTTGTATAACCAATAAAAACTGGACGTTTTGAACAGAACATTTTCACTTACTGAAAACATTAGTAAAACGTTAGGACATAGTTTTGTTAGCTGGGCACTAATATCGTTCAGATAGCCTATATCACCACTAACTTGAGGATGTTAAAGTGGAACTGGAGTCAGTGTGTAACTACTCTGAGAAAGTGTTGATCGATTTTGACATGTGAATGAAGTTCCTACATTTGTCTTAACTTTATTTGCTCCTGTAGAAAGAACGACACAACCGGGAATTGCCGCGCATCACAACTGTCCATTTTTACTGGAATCGGGGATAAATAATTCTGTTCGACTGTCCCGATTGATTACTCGTCAAGACTCTTCACGCTGGAGCACGTGGGAATGGATGAGCATGGTGTTTATGTGCTTTAGGATAAACGACTGCCTATAAAGCTGGCGAGGCCGCTCTCAGGGCCATAAATACGTCCACAGATTGTCTTGAGAGCGCATCGTAATCTTTCTTGATAGTCAGTTGCCGGGAAGAGTAGCTGCAAGCAGACGATTCTCCTCCCAATAGATGTCAATCAAACGACGGTCGGTCGGGCTTGCTGGGATGCCAAAGTTGACATTGCTCCAGTTATTTCTCCTTCAACACTGATAAAGAAGCACCATTCTAATAACCTAATATGAAAAGTTAAAAAAGTCATGAAAGAATGAAAAAGAAAAAACGTTTCATATAAGGAGTTTTATACCATGTCTACTTTTGTCACTAGATGGCGGTAAAACTCCAATAATAATTCGTGTATCACCATGCATATCCAAGAGTTTGTGTGGTTTAAACTCGCTCATTGCATAACGGGACAATGCACCTCATTCATTCTGTGGTAAATGTTTAGTCCCATGCACTCCTTAATTGTTTTTGGAAAAAATGTAATGTACTTCTCTGCAAACGCTTGATGCATTTGAACCAATTGCATTTATTAAAATACTTTTAATAAAATATTAGATAGTGGCACGCGTCGAATTAAAACGTTTTAGAAAAGTTACTAGTCATGTGTTATGATTTTCTTTAAGCTAAAGCATTATGATTCTGATGTCGTTGCTTTTGTTCATTATTAAAACATTCTGTATTAATTTATTTATCTGTTTATAGAATCATTGTTATTTTTCCCCACTATGCACATTAAGACATTAATTCGGTAGCCTAAATTGGATATTTGAATATATGAATTTGAAATGTTGCATCAGACTGATAGGCTACTTAATGTATGGTCTATTACAACACTACAGAAATATTTTAAAATGGACATTAAAATTACAATTTAAATAAATCTAAATAATTAGATATTTATTGGTTGCTTGAATAGATTATCACTGAAATTGCATGTTTTTGTTTGGTGGCTGCAAGAGACATAAAGGATTTCAAATGTTCTGACTGCATGAGCTCTTTCAGCCTTCGATTTCGGTCTAGTGTAGCGAGGGCATAAAATTCAGTCTTGGCTGTGCAACAAGCACTTCAATTACTAAATACCCTTTCACTCAAAAGAAGCGATACACAACATATGAATGAATCAGATTTATTATGGGATAGCGATGGATTTTTATGACTGACGAACAGGCGTGCTAGATCAGCACAATGTCTTTCCCCACAGCGGAGTTTAATGAGAGAGTTTTTCACTGTTGCCCAACGATCAGCGTCTTGTGGCTTGGGTTTTACTCCCAGATCGTTTTCAGTGATTGTTTAACGTCCTCTAGCACGACATATCCAGCGTGTTTTTAGACAGCGTTTTACTTTTCTGCTTTGTAGACAATTGTCTTGACTATCACTTGCAATTATTACCTATAAAAAAGAGATATGATAAATCACAATATTCCAGTTGCTGTTCTAGAGATGTGATCAAAAGTACTCAAGGAAATTAGAGTACGTTTGTTTGACACTGTTAGATGTTTGCTAATGCCATTCGATTGGATTGGTTTGCCCCGTTATGTGCCATTTTCATAAATAAACTTGTTAACTCGGATACTTTTAAAACCATTTAAGCCTGACGTGATATTATTAACGTTGTTTTATTAAAGCCATTTTCAATAGCCATTGATTTCACAGTAATCATACATTGTTGCTGTTGGACGTGGAGCCCCACCGCAGATGTGTAAATAGCAGCCTACTCGCCAAGCAAAGCCTCAACCTTAGCTATATATTTTCTACAGTATTCGAAGTATGCAGTAACTTGCAGGGGGATCCACATTTGTAAAGGAATTTCAATAGGACATTTTCGTAGCAATCTGTTATGGTCTCGAGCAACCCTGATTGTCTTTTGGCGTCTCTAGCACTCAAACTTTTTAAACAAACACTTATATTTTGTGATATATTTGTAAATGTGTGATATACGAGTCCAATGATGTCATTGAAGGCGGGATGATGATTCGAACAAAAAGGGTTCTAACGCGCTATTGTTGCTATGGTTACCGCCTACGTGGGATTTCATGTACACTTACTAACTTGTGATTTAACTTTTGTGGTACCCGAAGAGTTTAAACTTAAGTTGAAACGTATACTAATTTGTAAAAAAAATAAAAAAATAAAAATGTTGGCCTACTTGTTTAATAGCTACACATAATCGAGAATGCATCGTAAACAATCAATGCACAGTGTGCAAACTAGTTCTAAGGTAAAAATAAATAAATAAAATAAGCGATGTTTGCTGCCGCCTGTTCTACCCACTCTCTCTGCCGTGAAGCTGTGGTTACGGAATGTTTCCGCTCGTTTGAAGCGGAGAGGCTGGGCAGAGGGAGTCGTTGGCAGAGTCTCCGCGGATGTGAAGAATGCGCCCGTGTTCGCTCGGTCTCTCGTTACGCGCGTCTCCTCAGAGGGGCAGTGCTCGCTGGGGCACCGCTGGTTTTTTCTTCCTTGTGCTGCCTGCCTGCTATTTTTCACTGCGTAATATTTTCTGCCAAACCAACAAGCATTATGACTTTGCCGAGTTAAATAATGCCGTTAACTGATGCCAATATAATTATATTAATTAAATGACCGGGGTAAATCGGTTTTTATGGTCGTAAAAACTGGATTAATATCATTCTTACCCTTCTGGCAGTGCTCAGCATATTTTTCTCAGCATCATTCTTTTCCTTGTCCCTCTGTTGAGTAATAAAAATAGGCCTATATTAAACATCTCGCAAGTTTTTGCTCACTTTTATTATTATTATTATTATTAATTCGACCATTGTTTTTCTTTGGTAGCTGTGTTTGAAGCTACTTTTAACGTTTTAAAGTAGCATTTTAGTTACCAATGGGTAGCCCTATTGCGATTGACCACTCTATTATAATCACAGACATTAGCCTATATAAAATAATTCAGCTTCACACGCGCCAGTATCTGCACTGTTGTGATTTCGAGTTTGAGGAGCAGCCGACAGGATGTATGTAGTATTGATAAATATCCCTGTTGATCACTTGATTGATTACCTCGCGCAAAGGTCATGCGGGCGCGCGGTAATTTCCTTGTGCCCGCGGCTCCCATTTCACTTTCAGTCTGGCGCGAGAGCCCCCGACTTTACAAATTATGTTTTTATTTTAACCCTTCCCTTCCCTCTTTAACATCGCCGAATCTCGCCAACGACCTCTGTGTGCTGTACATCAAACGACAGAAGAGGGCAAACCTTTAATTAGGTTGGAGTATTAATCACAGAAGGTAAACTGTATGCTCTCTTTTTGATGGGGTTGAATTTAAACCGGACGACAAGCTAATAATTTAGCCGCATTTCCAAAAGGGTTCTGGCCTCAATTAATTTTCAATAATTACAGCCCACGGGGTCTTGACTGATCCTCACACCAGTGCGCCAGCTATACGCCATCTCTGGCCGACGGGGTCAGAGTATCAACATAAAATATACTGTGAAAAATAAGGACGGTGAGATATTGCGGATGGATAAAAACTGTGTTGATGTAAACTAATGCTAACGCACGGCAAAACAAAGGAGGACTACAACTGCACTCTACTCTTTCTCTCTGTCATGGAGAGAAGTTGCATTGGGTCGCTGTGTTTGTTCTCTAACGCTTATTTTATTGTTTGTTTCTTGTGCAACATTTGAAGACTTTGTTTTCATCAAAAAGTTCCCTCACGATTAAATTTTAATAACATTTCTTTTGATTTGTTAAAAATCAATTCATTATTGGACATTTTAGCTGAGTTTAAGTTATAGACTCCGCTCAATTAAACAAATAATGAAACATGAATAAATATGAGCACTGATATTTTTGATAATTGCGAGTTGTAATTTGGCAAAATATTGGATAACGTTTCTGTTTTTGTTATTTTAAGAACCTCTTTATTTTCTGTTGGCTAGCCTAAGTGTTGTATTTGTAAGTGCTGGTCAGCTCATAGCTCAGAGAGGCGTGGACGTGTGCTGATGTTTATTCTGCACCATTCATTTTTATGCAGAGTGATGCCAGATTAATTGGATCCGTTTTAGAAATACTTAGCAATCAATACCGCCAGTGAGAGGAAAGCGACCCTTTTAAAGGTTCATGTGCAAGGTCAACATGATGTCACGCGCTTCTAATTAATGGACAATTAACTTAATGACCCAAGAGTTCCCCAAATTCTCACCCGTTTTGAAAACTAATAATAAAAGCCAAAATAAAATTAGATGAAATAAAGCTAATATATTCGTTATGTAATGGAGAATCATATATCAAGATCATATCAGCTAAAGGCCTAGATCTAATGTAGGCTATTTAATTTGAGCATTGCTGGGCATCTCCAAAAATGTGTCCCAAAGGTATCAGAGATCACTTTCCGTTTTACATTACAAAAATGTTTTTGTTTTTAATAAATATGCTACTTCAAAAAAAAATTGTTATCAAGTCATATGAATGTAGTCGGACTACATGAATTGAGAGCAAGCTCAACTCCGCAGATTAATAATTGTCAGTGCCGCATGCAAGAAAAAAATATTCAGCGGGCTGCCCTCGCACTGACTGCCCACGCGCCTAGCTGAGGGAGGGGGAGATAAGTAAAAGTTGATCATTTTCATAAATTCATAACGATGGTCAAATCTCAATTAAACAAGATAAAACGTTTAATGAAACCGTTTTACAATAGTCATTTACCCGAACAGTGATTAATGCGTCTTCATTTAAAACAAAAGACCGGGCGCCTTGGACGCTCGAGACTGCTTCATTATAATTAATGTCTCCGGTTCCTCGTGCACCCGGAGGTCGCGAATAGCTCCGTCCCGCGCCCACTGATCTCTGAAGATCTGACACGAGAGGGATCTCGCTGGCTATTGCAATCTGACAAGATCTGTAATACTTGGGTGATGAATCGTTCCAAACTTTTTTGACGATGCTGGCAGCTCGGGGGTGTGCGCATGTGCGAAGGTGTCCAAACTGACAATGCTGGAGAGATAGTGCGTCTGGGATTGAGAATCACAGAGAAAAAGGACAGAGGAAAAAAGAAAAAGGAGGAAAAGATTCGAGAAAAAATCCGACAAACCCACGCCGAGAGACGGGCATCATGAGGTCCAAAGGCAGGGCAAGGAAACTGACCACTGGTAGGTGCAACATCTCTTTTTTAGCCCTTTTCAACTGCCATCTTGTCCATGTGTATGATGCATAGAAACATTTTAGTCACTAAACAGTTAGTCAGCAGAGCCCAGCGGTTTCAGTCGCTTGTAAGAGTTGAAGACAAGCTAAACGCGAACCGCGGCGCGCGGTCGGACATCGCTTCGAAACTGGCATAAAAGTTGAGCGTGCCGCGCAAACTTTGTAACCATCGCACGCTGTAATCGCGTTCTCTGTTCAAGCCCCGAGCGCCCCGGCGTTCGATAAAACAACACCGTTCGTGCATGTTTCTACGGCTCCGGTCACATCAATTTGCAGCCGTGACTTTGAAAAGACAGCTTCGCCTATAGACGACAACAGAAAGCAGCTGCGGAGGCACGCTTTTAAATGCAAACAGGTATCTTAAAGCTGATATTTCGGCAGGCAGTCCAATGAAATGCATATATG